CACTTAGCCCTTGCGTCCTAACTTTAGTGTCACTATCACACACATCACACATACATGACCAAATATACCTTCCCTTAGGAACACTTTGTCATGAAATCTTAACATAACGCTGAAGCATGCCTTGTCATATCAACATCACTCATCAGCCATAATGGTCATTGCATCACGAAGTATGAAGTGCTTAGCCTCCGTGCCTAAGTTACCCAAATACTTTCATCATTGAGTCAACCATTGAGATAGCTTAGGATAGGTTAATCCTTGCACCTTGAGAGATAGTATCAAACAACATTTGACTAAGCTCATTCAACATGCACCTTCAAAAAACTTTCGATTTTCTTTTTTCGCGTCTTTCTTTTTCGGGAGAAAGTCGGTACCCTCCACAAAAATGACAAAAAAAAATTTTCTTTTTGCACTTTTGAGTCACATTGAATCCACACTATGCACACACGGGTCATGAGTCACATGTGTCATTTCACTTTGAGTCGAGTCAACCTCGAGTCAGACGATCACAGCGAGTCAAGTTTATACCTTGAGTCGTGTCAAGTCAATGAGTCAAGCAACGCTAAGCCTTAGGTCAACCCTAAGATAATTAAAGAGATTGGCAAAGTTCTATAGTAAAAAATAAATATAGGTGCAGCAGAATAGGAAGACCCTACTCCTAGCGACAGAGATATTTCAGCACGACAAAGCTCGAAGCCTCTTAGAAAGGTGATTTCGACCTCATACAGCAATTTCGGGTTCCTTGGTACGCCAGTTAGACCCTATAAGCAATTTGACATGATTAAGTAGTCAGTTTGATTACAATCACAATAAGTGGTCGACCTGATGAAAGATCGTCTCACTTAGCTTAAAGCGCCTAATCACGGAAACACCGCGTACTGGTTTTAGCGGAAACAAAGTTCAGGCGAGCTTTAGAGATCGACAAACGTTTGTCATCGAAAATTTTTTTCTTCAGAATATTATCGCAACAAACGTTCAGTCCCAAGCTATTGTGTAGAGACGCGTGGGCATATCAATCAAGCTCTTTTGTTCAGAGACGTGACAATATTTTTCAAGCTCTTTTGTTCAGAGACGCGTATACATTTCCAGCAAGCTCTTTTGCTCCAGAGACGTGTGGGCATATCATTCAAGCTCTTTTGTTTAGAGACGCGTGGACATTCCTTTTAAAATCTCTTTTGCTCCAGAGACGTGGCATATCATCAAAGCTCTATTGTTCAGAAACGCGTGGACATATTATCAAAGATCTCCTATTTTCAAGCTTTTGCTCAGAGACGCTCCTATTATCAAGCGTGAACATATCAAAAAGAAGCTCTTTGTTCAGAGAGTGAACAAAACAAAGGTGGCGTGTAGATTGTTGAGTTGTCACAAACAACTAATGATTGTTTCAAGAGAAGTAATCTTCGATAGTATTCCCTTGGATGTGGAATATTATCAAAGCAGAGGAGGATCGTTTCAGGCGAAGCAATATTCTAATTTGGAAGCAGTTATAGGCGTAGCGTTTTCAAGCGGGATGGCATTCTCTAGCTTGCAGGAGGTCATCAAAACAATCGGTTACTTTCAGAGACGTGTGCTCGACGGTGCAAGATACACGTTTCTTAACTCTTTTATCTGTTTAACTAATGATAGTTTTGCAGGTATCGGCGTTATAAGAGTGATTTCGGAGAACGTCCTGAATCATTCTCCGTCCCTATCGCTACTTTGGCTTTCGTTTTTTCGAAACATGCGTTTCTCCAAACTCAGTCAAAGTGGGGGCTTCTGTAGACACCCATTTGTGTCTCCCCAAAAACCAAACCCGGTGATGATTACCTTTTACGTTAAATCATAATCGAATGAAGAGAAAGTGTGGAAAGTCTAGTGTTGCGGATAGTTTTTAATTCTTTTCTTTCTCTTTGTTTTTGAAAACTTATTTTAAAGAGAACAGCCAATTCAGTTTGGTTGGTCAATGATATGGGTCCAAGAATAATGTAGTTGGATAGGGCTTGACAAGGGCTATCCAACGATATATTATAAGCCCGATTCCGATGAATATTGAGGAAGTTATGGCCAATTTACTAAACTGAGCCCGGTTTGAGCTTTATATGCGGCCCAATGATCTAGAGGAGGGCCTAATATGATTTATCATTCCTAATGCAATTAGGAATGGTTTTAGTCTTCTAGAATCTTCTAGAAGGTTCTTTTCATTCCTAATTCAATTAGCATTGATAAATTCACTTTTGTTGACTTTTCAGAGTTTTAATTAAAATCAAAGAGCATTTTTTGAGGAAAGATACGATTTTATCCTCCTTTATGGCAAAATTTATCTGATTTTAGAAAACGCGTCAAAAACAAGATTGGCGTCACACGCCAGGCATTGGCGCCTGGCGCATTGCGCCTGGCGCCAATGGCCAATGTCAAGCACCGATCTCGTTTTGCGTGCGCCAAACTCTGTTTTGTTAATTTTATCTTTTTGGTTGATTTTCTCTAAAAATAACGTATTAAAAACTCCATTTTCATTCACCAATTCTCACGAATTCTCACCTACAATCAGTTTTCATTCGCAATCATTAATTCTCTAATTCTCTCTAATCATTCACCATCATCTCTCCTTCTCTTTCTTTTTCTAAACTTTGTTTTCAAATACAAAATTCCGCATTCACAAGATCTAGAAACACCTAGCCATATTCAAAGTTGTCTTCGCCCTAGACGTGAAAGGTTTAGTTTCTGAGGGTTTGGTCCCAAATCTTATTTCAATTATTTAATTTAATTGTTTAATTATTATTTTCCTTGAAGTTACTAACTGTGTGTATTTTGTTATTAGAAAGAGGTAAGAGGCATCAAAGTAAGTGCTTTAATGGTTTTTATTGATGTTCTGATGTAGAAATCATGTTTATATTACTATGATGATCCTAGTATCATGTCTAGGGTAATTATAAATATCAAATATGCTTAATATGATTCCTGCAATGCTTCCTA